TTTTGGTAACAGTACGGTTCACTTGGCACCCCAACCGAGGTGGTACTAAAAAAAGTACCAGGTACCGGGTACTGTACCCAGTGGAAAACCCCCAAAAAGTGAACCATACCGAGCCGTACCGTGCAGTGGAAAAGCGCCATAATTGTATTGGTCTGGGATCCCTGACGATTATTATTATTATTATTATTTGCTTAACCACTTTAAAATGGCTTTTTGGTTGCTTTTAGTCAGAAAACGTAAAGAAAACGACATACATACAGCAAGATAATATAATTTCACTTATCTAGCCTATCACTTGAAGCAAACAGCCATCCCTTCTTAAAAGTCTGTGTTAAAAGAGAGCTGCTGTTGCGCCATTTAATTAAGCCGACTGCTGTAGCCAATATCCAGCTTAGGCTGTTTTCCCTAAATTTGTATATATACTGTTTGAATGACAGCTTGATAAATCTGTTGGCGATCAAATATTCAATATCGCTACTCATAAGTACTTGGTACATTATCAGCACAGCGGCGACCGTTCAAACTAATATCACTAAGTTACGTCTCTGTGATGATTGGTTGATATCAGAAAGAGGCTAGCCTCCCCAGCCAGGTTTCTTTTCTCAACACTCCTCAGCGCTGAAAGTGAACACGCAATGGTGATTGGCTAATTTTTTTTTACCAACGGAGGCACAGTGCTCCCCCGGCCTCTCCCTACCCTTCTCTAGCATTAGCGGTTGCAATTACATCAGCAGATTCGGCACATTCGCGATACAAAAGCGGCGCTTTCACATTATGTGAAAAAAATTTCTCAACTGTGAAATTACAAATAAAAAATACACATTCTGAGACACAACTGAAATAAATTGTGAATTGTATTAACATTAAATCGTCCTCCTCCCATTTTCACTTCAAAATTATTGGGAAGCTGTGCCTCCCCTGCCTCTCCAATGAGCCTCCACTGCCTACAATAACTTAAAAATAGCGGTAAAAATCAAGTTTGAGATCATTTTCATTAAAACATCTAATTGACAGATTTCCAGTGTCCTACCCATAATAATTTTTTTCTGGACAAATAAAAATCTTTAAAGCCATTTTTCTAAGTTTCACTCTGCAGCAAGCAGCAGTCCACCTGTCACTCAAGTGGCCACGCCCTTAATTATGCAGAAATTTAAGGCTTAATATAATTTAAACGGATGAGTTATAAAAAAATTAACCCCCCTCTCTTCTCGCTCACCTTCTGCTTCTACAAGTTCTATTATACCACGTAGACGCTTGAAGATCTCTAGCAATGTCTGAAAGAGGCAAAGGCGGTAAAGAACTCGGGAAAGGAGGCGTTAAGCGCCACAGTAAAGTGCTGCGGGATAACATCCAGGGCATCACCAAACCCGCCATCCGTCGTCTGGCGCGCCGCGGCGGCGTCAAGCGCATCTCCGGTCTGATCTACGAGGAGACCCGCGGTGTGCTGAAGGTGTTCCTGGAGAACGTGATCCGCGACGCCGTGACTTACACCGAGCACGCCAAGAGAAAGACCGTCACCGCCATGGACGTGGTGTACGCGCTGAAGCGACAGGGACGCACCTTGTACGGCTTCGGAGGTTAAAAGCCTTTAAACCACAAACCCAACGGCTCTTTTAAGAGCCACCCACACTGTCACATAAAGAATCCATCTTGAAGTTTTGTTACAGGGACGCACTCTGTACGGCTTCGGAGGATAAACGCGTCCCAATTATCAGAAAAACACAGGCTCTTTTAAGAACCCCCACATTTTCATAAAAGAATGCACTTCATGATATCTCGTTAACTAATAATTTTACACATGCATAATCTGAAGCTATTGTTCAGTGTCTATACTGAAGTGAAAGTTTTAGCACTCATATGGAGGTGTTGTTGCTCTTATCAACTTTAAATTGTTTTTATTGGTGTATTAACTGATTTAACTCATTTAATACCGGTCACAATAGTGATCATGAAAAATATTTTCATTAATAAAGCTCTAAAAACACTACTGACTGATGTTTTAGTGCACTTCCTGCAAAAATGGAAAAAAATCGAGTCTCAAGCAAATATCTGCAGTTTCACGAGTCTAGTGCAAATTGTTACATGACCAGAGCAGTTTAATTCCTGTTTGTATCTCGAGAAGATGATGGCTGCATCCAAGCTCCAAAACAAAAGGCTAGTAAAGTATGTTAATCTAAGGTTTTTAGTGCACATTGTCTTTGAGGTGTCTAGTATTAATATATGAATTCACATATCTTCAGTTTTGTTGAGTGTCATCGTAGAATGAGTAAACATCTTAATGGTCACAATAGTGACGGGAGGGATAACAGTGCACTTAGGTATACAATATAAATCCAATTGCAGTTGTTAGTGAAAATTGCACTAAAATGTTGCAATGACAAAATATTCAACTAAATTAAAAGTTCAAATGTTGCAAATAAGCTACAATATTTATGTCGTAATACTGGTAGCACTAATATAAAAATGTGATGTTACAAAAAAACTAACAATTTTGAATTATGTTGATGGTTGTATTTTTTGTTGTTGTTGTCTTTTATCTCAGTATTCCTGTCAATGTTATATAAGGTTTTTTTTATGCATAATAGTAATGACTGATGTTTTAGTGCACTTCCTGCAAAAATGGAAAAAAATCGAGTCTCAAGCAAATATCTGCAGTTTCACGAGTCTAGTGCAAATTGTTACATGACCAGAGCAGTTTAATTCCTGTTTGTATCTCGAGAAGATGATGGCTGCATCCAAGCTCCAAAACAAAAGGCTAGTAAAGTATGTTAATCTAAGGTTTTTAGTGCACATTGTCTTTGAGGTGTCTAGTATTAATATATGAATTCACATATCTTCAGTTTTGTTGAGTGTCATCGTAGAATGAGTAAACATCTTAATGGTCACAATAGCGACGGGAGGGATAACAGTGCACTTAGGTATACAATATAAATCCAATTGCAGTTGTTAGTGAAAATTGCACTAAAATGTTGTAATGACAAAATATTGCACTAAATTAAAAGTTCAAATGTTGCAAATAAGCTACAATATTTATGTCGTAATACTGGTAGCACTAATATAAAAATGTGATGTTACAAAAAAACTAACAATTTTGAATTATGTTGATGGTTGTATTTTTTGTTGTTGTTGTCTTTTATCTCAGTATTCCTGTCAATGTTATATAAGGTTTTTTTTATGCATAATAGTAACCCTATCAAACAGTTTAAAATTGATTTTCGACAGGCAAATTTTAAATACAAAAAATAATATATTTTGTAGTTGTTCAAACATTAAGAATGTTGTGTACACATACATTCATATACACATTTTAAATGAAGTGATTTTAGTGCTTTTTCATCTAGATTAATCGGCTGAAGCCTTAAAAAAATTTAATGTGGTGCGACCATGATTTATATTAAAATTAATTATTTTCCTTAACATGCTTAACATTTTTTAGACGTTCTCAGTAAATAAAGTGTTTAGAAACAAAGTATTTGTAAAAGTTTTTTGTAAATAATGATCTCATATTTTGTTCTACAATTTCAGAGTTGCCTTCTTAAATGTAGTTAGCAGACTTTATTTTTTTCTGTAAATTGCAAAAAAACTGATCAAATATTTAAAAAATACCATTCACTTAAGCATACTGTAGCACTGATTCATATTTCAGCCACAGAAATTAGATAATTTATTTTTTAATTTAATATAGTTATTACTATTATTGGTCGCACCACATGATGAGTGGTCGCTCCAAATGTCACAAAGATTTTATATAATTAAAAATCTATTTAAAGAAACGTGTGAAAAGTTCAGCACATGGCATTAACTGCAGTAATTTTTTTAGACCCAGTTATTTCTAAACTTTGCCCAATCTTGACTGCTCAATTGACACTATGCCAGGAGTTTGATTAACAGGCGATCTAAACAAACATAATGCCAAATGCCATTTTTTTCCCCGACAAACAACCCAGACAGGAGAGTAGATTAACGTCGGTGGACTTGAACTTGAAAAATAGTGTGTATTGACAGCTTTTCACAGTTGAAACAAGATACCTTCTGATGTTCATTCATGTTTATTTTGTGCTATAACTAGTAAGAGTTGATGGGTTCACATGCCGCTTGAACTGAGGTGCTACAGCGATCTGTCATGACACATTAAAAAGCCACAAAACAGTATTTGTTGTTTGAATTCCTTAAAAAAATTACAATATTTGAACTCTGAGGCTTTGCTCAAAAGTGATGTATTTTTCACTGCACAAGAACATGATGTGTGTCATAAACGTGCCATGGTTTGTCGGATGGTTTGTCAGACGTTGCAACAGTAACTAAGGGCGGGTCTTTGCAAAGGGTCAATTTAGAGTAGCGGGAGGTTGCTGGCTCAGGTTCTGAGATGAAATCATAAACATCTTTCTTACAGTAGAAAATTACATCTGGAGTTTGTGCATGACTGCAAGGTCAGAATGAACATGCTGCCTATGGCGAGCGTTTATTTTACTTTGCTTGGCAGTGGAATCTGGTCAAATAGATGAAAATAGTTATTAATAAATATAGAATAAATTACAAATAGTAATTAGTACCATAGTTACAAAACTAAAAGTACATGCTCTAAATTATTGTTTTTGCATTTTTTTTTTTTTATCACATTGTACAAAGATTCAACATAAACCATCTGAAATTGTGTACAGGATTACAAAACACTTTGGAAATCATGCCAAATAGTGCAGAAAATTAATAAAAGTTAAAGTTGGCACATATGTGGGAGAGGTACTTCTTATATATGGCATATTTTTTATGCATTTAAACCCATTTTTAACTGAAAAAATGCAATCGGACACAAAATTTTGGCATCAGGTCATTGACCCATACAACAATTTTTATGACTGCAGAAATATGTTAATTCAGTACACACATTATTCCACCGGTCACAATTGTGACCTACCATAAAACACAATTTTTCACACACTTTTCCAAAAATAAAAAAAATATTTCAAAGACATCATTTGGATATTTTCATGTCTGGGGAAAAAAAAATGGGATTAAACGGGTTAATATGAAATGAAAGCCGTGTTAATTTAATGTGCAAAATGATAAAAATAGTTTAATTTTCTTCTTAATTTTTTATGTAATGTTTATCACAAAGACATCTTGAGCGGGAAAGTCAAGACAAAGAAGCGTGTGTGGGAGGCGACGGAAGCATTCAAATTTAGAAGCCTGTGATTGGCTGATGTGTCTGCCTAGCCGGCCGATTTCTAACCAATTAAATATGTTTCTTTCATTCATTGTGAGAAAAGACCCAATCAGGGAATAGCAGCCAGACCTCTTAAATTAGCATGAGCATTCAATAAATAACCAGTACATATTTTTAAGAATATATCAAGTTGTACTGTTCATTTTGAGCTAACATGCCTGAACCCGCGAAGTCTGCTCCTAAGAAGGGCTCCAAGAAGGCCATCACTAAAACCGCCGGTAAAGCAGGGAAGAAGCGCAGGAGGTCCAGGAAGGAGAGCTACGCTATCTACGTGTATAAAGTGCTGAAGCAGGTTCATCCTGACACCGGGATCTCTTCTAAGGCGATGGGCATCATGAACTCTTTCGTCAACGACATCTTCGAGCGCATCGCCGGTGAGTCGTCTCGTCTCGCTCACTACAACAAGCGCTCCACCATCACCTCGAGAGAGATCCAGACCGCCGTGCGTCTGCTGCTGCCCGGAGAGCTGGCCAAGCACGCCGTGTCTGAGGGCACCAAGGCCGTCACCAAGTACACCAGCTCCAAGTAGAGCTCCGTCCGACACCCAAAGGCTCTTTTAAGAGCCACCCATATTATCACTGAAAGAGCTTTTGTAACTTTTAACCATTGAAATCGCTGTGTGATTTTACGCAATATTAGTGTTTAACTTATTATTATTATTATTATTATTATTATTATTTTTGTTTAATTTGCAATTCACAGCTTTTTTTGTTGTTCTGGTAGTGTTGGCGTTTGCTCAAGTTCACTCATCTTTGTTTTCTAATAGTGGAGTTAAGTTACAGCCTGATAACCGTGAGTTAGATCAGTTTGCAAAACTTTAGTGTAAAATGTTTTCTAAGCTGAATGGAAGTAATTTCTACTCATTTCCGTTATTCTGGAAAAAAAAAAAAAACTTGCACAATTTTTCTTTTGGTCTGCATGAGTTCGGAGTATAATAATCTAATGCATTTAAACAGAAAAGAAAATCATAATTTCATTGAAAAACTACTTTTTTGACGATTTTCCATTGTGGTACAGATTTGTCATATAGCAACATTTAAAAAATCATAAGCTGTACATTGTGTTTAAATTCTCCAAAAATTGGTCTTATGGCATCAAACTTTTTTTTTTCTCTCAGTAATACAGTACAGTATATTCAGTTTAACCTGGAAGATGATTTTGAGGATAATTGAACAGTTACGATCAGAAAAAGTGTCAATTCAATTATCAGTCTCTCACAGAAGCATCTCACAACAAACATTTTTTCTTGCTATGAGAAAGTACAATTTTTTGCTAAATGGGAGTAACTTAAACTTTAAGTGAAGTGACGTGTGGCTACCCATACTCGGAATTTGTGCTCTGTGTTTAAAGGTGGGGTAAGCGATTTTTCAAAAACGCTTTAGAAAACTGATTGGCCCGAGTAGCAAAACAAACTTGTAGCCAATCAGCAGTA